AATGTTGAAGAACCAAAGGATGTTAATAGCAATTCAGCCGCGAATTTTTTGTTTTCCTGAACTTTCTTAATAGCAAGGTAATTTTCAAATCTTACTATACATATATGTGCACAAATTTTCTTTCTGTTGATTGGAATTTTCGAAAGGGCGCATAACTGTTGTGTTACCTGGAGTTGAATTGAGCTTCATTTCATCATCAGAAAGGGCTTGATTTTGCTCCAGAACTCGTTGATTGGTAGCTTGCATCGCTTCCATAAGCGTTTTGAACATCTCTGCATTCATGGTATTGCCGTTTTATCGATCTTGTTTTTTTCTTGATAAATTCGATTTGTTGATTCAACTTGAATGATCCAATTTGTTGTATCTTTTAGGTACAGAAATATATGAAATCGATGGCAGTAATTGAAGTATTGAATGACATAACATGATAACTATTTTTCCTCAACACATAATAAATATGTATATACAGGATGTTACATGGTCGTTCGGTATTGAATATCAATATAGATAGTAAATCAAATGTCAAGATAGGGTCATGTGAGCCGTTTTGACCAATAATGAGTATTTTTGGCATGGTTTATTTCGATTTTCCACACCCTATAACTCAGTGATCATTTTGTATCTCTTGGAGCGCACGAAAGGAAATTCCTATGTAGGGATGATAGGGAGAGGAGGTAGGTGTTGTAATTATTTTCAAACTTCTCGAAAACTTCCATTGGCAAAGAATTCAAAAGCTTTGCCGTTCTATATACGAACGAGTTTTGGTTGAGTGTTGTTCGACATTTTTCGGGATTGATGACGAAGAAATTATTTGCTGACTGGACCTGTCGAGTTTGTCTGACTGGTGATAGATCGATGAAATCAGCTCACAAGGGAGAATCTGAAAATAAGATAAAGGGTGCCCCATAAGAAAAAGTATAACTTAGATTAGTAGTAATATTTTATAATTGTGCCGCTCATGAGCCTAGATCATTTCAAAATAGCGAAACCGTTATGACACTTTGTCACTGTAGTGGTCCACCCTGTATGAGATGAACATCGATTGCAAAAACAGTTTATTATACATCTTATTATTTTTAAGTATTTTATCTTTGTATCCTTAGGTCGGGGGGATGAAATCTTATAATCCTAGCACTTGAAACTATTTGTTCAGGTAAAGTATCATTATTATGTTCCTAATTATCACTTTGAGGAGGGTGATAAATTCTGAAGTGGGATTAGCAGGATTATATCACCAAACTACCTGATTTTGTTTCTACGAAATAAGCAACAGTTTGAAAACTATTGCTATACTAGTATATGTATAAGTTTTCTATATAGTATTACCTTTTCGGTTGTCCTGTTCAGTGAATGAAAATTAAAGTTTGGATATATCGTGTGTTTTCTACTGTATTAGGTGAGAAGTCACGATTATCAAGTTACCTAATTTTTGGGACTACTTGGTATTTTTGTAATTTCGTAAAATTTACCTGAATACTAAATTGTTATCTGTCTCAAGTCTCAATCTCAGTCTAAGAATTAGGCATATGTATAAGCAGTCTGTTATGACTATCTATAAAATTAAATCCAATAACATTGTGAACTTTTGATAATTTGAGCATGCGCATTCACAGATTACGGTCTTGGTCCTAAGCATGAAGATCCAATCAGAGAAATTGTCGTTTGTGATTTTTTTTTTTAGTGAAATCCAAGCGATAGAATAATAACATTTTCAATTATTACAATTGAGATTTGCTTTTTCGTATGCTGACTTATGATATGAACAGTGAACACTTATATCAAAAGTTGCAATTCCCATATTCTGGAAAAAATGTGAATTTTCATCGTGGACCAATTTTGTACCTGATGCGTATCTTGACATAGTATTAATAAAACTTTGTACATATACATCGATTATTGAAGAAATTATCTATTGTACTCAGGCTCCCGTTTCCTATGTAAGATGATTTCGAAAAATTGCAAAATCTCATTGTGATATGTTGAAATTTATTCTTGATTTTCCCGAATTTGACAGATACTCAGTGGTAATACTATTATTACTCCAAAATATTCGGGTTATACAATGATAACTTGTTGCATATTCAACATATTTACCATATCATACAATTAAACATCAGATAGGTCAACTAAATACAATTATAATAAATTGGAAAAGTTTTACTTCGCATCTAGGTGCAAGCACCTGTATATATGCACAGAGATAAACAATTTTTGATTTATGTATAAGCGGCAAATAAATATGTATCATATATTTAAAAAATGGAAGGTACATTATCCTCAAGGGAATGAATAGAAAGTGAAGTTTGTTGAAATTATTCTCTATAATATTGCAATATACCTAGAACAACTTAATTTTCTAATTACAAAGAATGCTAGTTTAACAAACAGATGACATAATCCTACCACGAAGCGGAAGCATTATTCTGCAAACTTTACCCGAATTGTAATTGTGCAGGAAGTTTGATATGTATAACCTTGAAGATGTTGAAGTTCAAAATGAATTCGATGCGACTATTTTTTGAGAAAATCGGAACGAACGTGATAATTGGACGACGCGCTTTGTTTTTATGTAACAATATGAATTGAATAATTATGTATATCGACGTAAATTCGAAATTATACGGAGTACTATAGCTCAATTGAACATTCTAATCGATTTAAAATCATATACGAAGAAAATAATCGTCTGAATTAAATTTCGATTGTTTGCTAATGATTATGAAAACTCTCGAAGAGAATTAATTTTTTTGTACGGTACTAATTCCTGGAAGCTTGGGATTTAATTGATTTCTGGTACAAAGAACATCCTGCGTATGAAAAACTATATAAGAAGGAAATATAACTTCTGAATAAGTGTTCTAGGAGTATCCAAATATTATCATGTTATTCTAATAATCTTTAAATGACTATTTCCAACGGAAAAGAGAAAATTACTAATAAAAAACGCTTTGTATCTATATGTATATCATAAAAAAATTTAATAATGATATTACAGTTTCGGTTTCTCACTGAAGGAATGCCTGATATTACTGACTGATTCTACACATTTTGAATCGATCTTCAACTATACAGTGTCATTCATAAAGTCGGCATCATATGGGAAAAACTTTTATTAATGACTTATTTTGGAATTCGAGTTGGACGTTAAGTTTTGCTTCCAAAAAGATGAAAAATGGCCTACTCAATCGGGGTCACGTGACTTTCGCTACATGTCAAAAGTGAAATTTTTTTCAAATTAATCGCTGAAAGTAGGCTTATTTGTTCGAATATCGAAAAAGTTTACTTGAAAAAGTTGTTTCTTATTCAATTTTACACATGCTTCTCGAATTTGATCTTTCTATTGCAACTTTTTGATTTTGATTTTTTTTTTAATTCGAAATTTCTGTAATATTTGAAGAATTGTTAATCCCACGAAACTACTTTATACCAGTAGCTTTTTCATGCTACTTACTTTCAATTACTCATTATCACTGATTATTGACAGAAATATGATTTTCTTCAGAAAATGATAATACCCGCTTCCAAATTCTGTTATGTTTGATGCAAAGTTGATACATCGTCAAGCTTTTAGAAACGAAATTCATTTAAACTGATCTTTTCAGTACTGGAAAAATAAATTTGAATGAATTTCGTGTCTAAATGCTTGCCTCAATCATAACAGAATTTCGATGTTATGTTTGCATCAAACATAACAAAATTTTGAAGCGGAGATTATCATTTTCTGAAGAAAATCATATTTTTGTCGATAATTAGTGATAATTAGTAATTGAAAGTTAGTAGCATGATGAAACTACTGATATGAAGTAGTTTTATCGAATTTACAATTTTTTTAATATTACAGAAATTTCGAAAATTTTTAAAAAATATCGAAATCTAAAAAATGTAATAGAAAGTTAAAATCCGAGTCACATATGTAAAATTGGAATAGAAACAACTTTTTCAAGTAAACTTTTTCGATATTCGAACAAATAAGCCTACTTCCAGCGATTAATTTGAAAAAATGTCACTTTTGACATGTAGCGAAAGTCACGTGACCCCGATTGAGTAGGCCATTTTTCATCTTTCTTGAAGCAAAACTCAACGTCCAACTCAAATTCCAAAATAAGTCATTAATAAAAGTTTTTCCCATATGAGGCCGACTTTATGAATGACACTGTATGTTGATAAAAAAACTGAAATAGGTCCACAAATGGAATAATACGAGGAGGGTGCTTCTCAAAGTGGGACACACTGTACCTATATACAGCGTGTCTCACTGAACCCCCCTCCTAATTCGAACTGGCATGAATAACTATCAATTTAATCAGTTTTTCAGAGACAAATATTATTCATGACTGTACCGTGCGTTGTTTTTTGGGATAAAAAAGGGTTGTTTTTTTTCATGAAATCATATTTGGCAATTTTTACAGACATACAAATCTTGTATCATTGACCTACATATGAATCATATGATTTTGAACCCTCACAACATGTGGATTTTCATGTAATTTCTTTGGAGTGTTTCAAAAAAACAAGCATCTCAACAGCATTTTTGCTAACGTAAACTATTATTTCCTAGGAATCGTTGAGTTCATAAAAAAAAAATATCTTGTTCCTTCTTTTGAAACGTATTTTTCTAGCTATCGGAGCTATCGAACATTCTAAAATTTGCAATTCATTATTTTTTCGACGCCATAAATGAAAAAATAACGAAGCCAATCCTGGCAATTTGGAATTTGTCGAGTTTTTGCATATGGACATTCGAAATTTATGAAGTTGGTTTTTCTACAAAAAAATGCCTGATATGATTTCATAAAAAGGGACTCCTTTTTAATTTAATAAAAACTCACGGCACTGTTGGTGATGATGTTTGTCTCTGGAAAAACTGATCATATTGATGGTTATTCATATCAGTACATATTTGGTGAGATTCGCACGACTAACAGCAGATATTTAAGGAGGGGGGGAGCGCGTTTAAAGTATGAAACACGCTGTATACACGACTGACGGGCTTACATAAGAAACACTTAAATCGTGAAAAATCTCTGAACTGTCGATAAAATCTATCGAATGTTTTAACTTGAAAAAGCATCGATCACCAAATTCGTATTGTGTCTTGACATGATTGCTAGAGGTCAAATATTTTGGAGACAGGAGGCTAGACTGTAGTGTCTCAACAACAATCATTAGATATTGGCAAAAGGATTAGCTGAATGATAATCGCTTGAGTATTATTGGCACAGGTACCCTACCTATACAGGTTTAAGCGAAACAGGTATAAGAATATATCTCAACAAATTCAGTATTCTTCAGAATCTTCTGCTGTGAACTTTTCGTACTAGTGTTTGGTGAAAATGTGTAATATTATTGGTGTGGTTTTGTTATTGTTTTTCTTTGAATTGGTAAGTACTCAACAAATCAACCAACAGATATTTTACTGAACCAGTTAGTAGAGACACCTAAATACAATGAACTCAATTTAAACAACTTACATTGAGTTCAATGACTAAATTAATATCCATCAAAATGAGACAAACGCTCACTGAAATATAGGGTGATACAAGAAGCAAACTCGTATGTTGAGGAGTACAGTTGGGATTTCAGGAGGGTCATACCAAAAACCTTCGGGAATTGTTTATAGTTTTCCAGTTATATCAAAAAAGGTACATTTTTGAAAAAAACATATTCTACGTTATTATATTAGAGATACGGAAATACTGACGATATTTTTCCATAACAACTTTTGATGACATTTAACGTGGTGATATTGATTTATCTACGCGATCTTTTGTATTTATAGAACTCATAAACTTTCTTTTTCAAATTCGGCGCGATCCTGATTATGACTATGTTCGCAGATTCAGAAAACTTTTTTCATTCTGAATTCAACCATAGATCAAGTGTGTTCGACCTAGTTTTAGCTAAATTCATCAATATTTTTTCAAAATTTCAAAGAGGAAATACCATCAGTTCCACATATTTCTGATCATTCGGTGTTAAACATTACAAATATTCTATACTGTAAAAGAACTTCAAATTATTCGTTACAGCGCTTCGAATATTATTTCATATTAATGGATTCTTATACGAATCACCTTGATAACTAAACTTCGATTACATGAAAAGTAATTATTTGAGAAAAATAACATTCATATTAAATGTAAATTATAACTATTATTCTCTAAAAAAAGATATCCTTTCCTTTACAGTTGCTTCTAAGCATTTCTGAGGGGATACAGTTGAATGCTTCGATTAAAATGTCCCTTTGTTCTTGTTCGTTATCGAAATAATTTGCCTGAAGGGAGTTTTGAACGTATCCCCAAAGATGAAAATCCATTGAATGACCAGAAGTAAGTCGACCTGACGTTATTTCCTCTTTAGAATTCTTGAGGAAGAAAAATTATGTCAAAACATATTCAAACCACTTGGAGTGATACCTGGTTGAATTCACATTGAAAGAAACAATCAGAATCTGTGAAAACATAATCAGGACCGCTTTAAAAAAGTGGATAATAGTTCATCGAATTCGAAACGGTGCATAGAGAATACAATATCACGACGTTAAATCTCAGCAGAGGTTGCTATAGAATAATATGTTCTGTTCTTCTGTTTCTCTAGTAATAACGTAGAATAGAGTATAAAATTATGTTTTCTCGGTATAACTGAAAAACTATGAACAATTTTGAACGTTTTCCTCCCGTTTCCGAGATTCTCTTGGTGTGCAACCTAATCGTGGTCCCACTGTAGACAGGAAATATCAATGAATTACTCTAGAAAACACCATTATATTCATCTTTATGCAATTTTCATCCGAAAAACCAATTTCCTTTTACTAACAATCAATATATTACGTAACAAGTTCGGTTAATACTGTTTTCTTGGACGAGTAGACAAAATTATAGGCCGAGCCGTAGGCAACTCCTGGAAGTCTGCGAGTCCAAAAAATTGTTTCTGGACGTGTTGCGTACACAATTCATTCGGCAACCATATGTAGAATAACAATTCAATGAGACACATTTCCATATTACATTTCTTTGTGCAATACAATTTCTTCTTTATTGATTCTTATTTATATCAAATTCTGAAATTTGAACAGAATACCTATACCTACTAACTGCTACATTGGAAATTTCCTATGAACATGTTCAAACTCACTATCGCTGCTGCTTTCTAAAGTTTATTGCGATAATTACAACCAAACTTTCAAACATACAAATGTCAACTAATTCCAAGAAAAACAGCTGTCAGTCGATATTTCGCTGCTATGGTAATTATCATCTGCATTTATCAAAACCTCACCTACCAAGATTTTCATAGTTACAGTGACAACAACGATGTGATACTTCCCGGCCTAATCCGGGAAGTACTTTCTTCCCGGACTAGGCCGGAAAAATGCTACTTTGTCGAAAAAAAAAAGCTTCTGGGAAATGAGCACTGCCCGGACGGTTGCCGAAAAATTGAATTTCGAATCAAGTTATCAATACAGACTTGTCATATCTGTCATGGTGACTAGATTTTAATTAGAATTAAAAATGAAGTGCTTTCACAGTCACATAGGTCCACATTTCAGTTTCACAGAACTATAATGATTTGAATATATTGCTAGCGGTGAAAAAAAATTTGATATACACTTTGTTATAGTACAGAATACTATTACCACGGATGAAGCCTCGGGATGGATATAATCTTAGTTGTTCCTGGGTAAAAATGATATTCTTCACTACCTTGGTATATAAATAACTATTATTCACGACCAACATACAAGGTGTTTACGATTGTAATCAGGAGAAATTGATAGGCAATGATAGTTCTAGCAAAAATGGAAGTTTTATAATCACCCTAATCAAGATGTCAAAGGTTTATATTTCGAATATTATTGAATTTAGGAGCGAAGTGTATCAAATGAAACTGTTGAGAACTATGAGATCCCGAATTTGGAATAGTATAGGGATTTTTCCATTAAAAAAATATTCAAGATGGCGTTCACCTGCCATTCTGAAACTTTAATCTGCCGTTTATCTATGGCAAAGTTGGTCTTCATCTCTTATTTGAGTTCTCCAAATTTCGTTGCGATATACCAGATGGTTGACAAATTAGTAGGGGGGAACAGACTTGAAAAGGGCACTGCATGGACAAAATCATTAGTAAAAATTTAGGATGACACCCAATAATATCTGCCTGTTTTTGTTTGTAGGTAACTGTATTCAATTGCAAACCAGTTTTACTTGAGTTAGACCCACTTGAACAGTACGTGACTGCTAGCAACAACACAAGAGGTACGTAATAATAACTACTGAATCATTAATCACTTCAGGGTTCTTCATCCCTGTTATTGATTGATATCGATCAGACAAGAGTACATTTTAGATTATTTCAGAACATTCTCTATCATTTCAGAATATTATCGATTACTGTAGAATATTTACGATTATTATAGAGTATTCTTGATCTTCCTAGAACATTCTCGATTTTTCGGAAACTTTCTAGATTCTAGATTATACAAGAACATTCTCGAATATTCACTACATCGACTACTGACCATCCTTATTTTCCAGATTACGAAGCGGAGCAATCGCACCCCTGGTGCTGCTTCTGGTAGTTGTAGAACAATCAAGATTATTTCAGAACATATTATCGATTGTATCGATTTTAGAAGATTCTCGAACATTTGTTGGATGAATCAATCATTTTGGAAATATCTAGAATACTTTGGAGCATTTTCAAACATTCTGATACCAGAACATTCAGATTATTCTGAGAGATTCTATAAAATTATGGACAATTTTGAAACATCTTTGAGCAGGATATCCCCTTTCGTGGGAACCAGAACATAAAAAAAATTCTAGAACATTCTCGATTGGTTTGAAACGTTCTCGATCATTTTATAGCATGCTCGAATATTCGAGTACAGGGTGATTCAATATAAATGTTCCCCCCTCTAGCTCACTTATTTTTGGACCGATTTGAAAATTTGAAAAATAATCTGAAATGATTTTTCAGAAATTTTTTCCTGTTGCATCAGAAAATACAGGGTACTCGGAACAAACGATCTACAGAGTACTACTTGATTTTTTCAAATTAAACACCCTGTATTTCATTGTATTTTCAGAATCTTCCTGAAGAGCTGATTTCATCGATACATCACACTTGGGGTCTGAATGATTGCAGAGATATAGGGTGTTCAAAATCGAGATTTTTAAACTATAGGATTTTTTTGTGTCGAAACTATTCATTATTGGTCGAAACGGCTTCTATGTCCCTATCTCAACTTCTGATTCACTATCTACTGACATTTAATTGAAACATTTACAGGGTGGTTCAAGATTAAGAATTCTGATAACCCTGTATCTGTTCCAATTATTAAATGTCAGTAGACAGTAAATCAAAAGATGAGACACGAAGATGAGAGCCGTTTTGACCGATAATGAATAGTTTCGTCACAAAAAATCCTACAGTTGAAAAATCTCGATTTTGAACACCATATATCTCTGTAATCATTCCCGCGAGACCCCAAGTGTGATGTATTGATGAAATCAGCTCTTCAGGAAGAATATAAAAGTGCAATGAGAAATAGGGTGTTCCATTTAAAAAAATCAAATAGTACCCTGTAGATCGTTTGTTCCGAGCACCCTGTATTTTCTGATGTAGCGGAAAAAAACTTTATCGAAAATCATTCAAGATAATATCTCAAATTTTGAAATCGGTTCGAAAATAACTGAGCTAGAGGAGGGGACATTTATGGTGAATCACCCTGTACATCATCGATTATTCTAGAACGTTCTCGACAATTTTAGAACTTTCTCGATTATTCTAGAACTCTCTCTATTATTCAAGAACATTGCCGAATATGTATTGCGTCATTAACTTATCGTCATTGCTGATTCCAGACCGCCGCCTGTCCGACATAATCTTCCCTGACGACGAGGTTGAAGCTCCTGCTCCCCTGAGGTTGCCCCTGATCCGCGGCAGACCAGCCTGCGCTAGTGGTGCAACCTTCTGCGAACACTTCGACCGCTACCCGAGCCACCAGCTCAAGCACATCCTGAGCCGGCACTCGCTGGGCAAGGAGCTGTTCGGCATGGACGAGAGCCCTGACGAGGTGGCCGGCAGGGACGGATCAGGGGAGTCGTTCGTCTGCGGCTCAGTGGACAACACGATCTTTCCGAAGATCGGCGTCAACAAGAATAACAAGTGGAAGTTTATTATTAACCAGGAGGAGGATGGTTATGTGCAGGGGGTGAGGATCGAGCTTTGCAGAAGGTGAGGGTTTGACATTTTTCAAGAGACTATTTTCTTTATTCATAGTATGTACAGGGCGAACAACTAAGAAAGGTTTTGGGGGTTATCTCAGCAACGAATAATGATACAAGTTTGAGATAGAATGAATCTAATGGTATGCATATCATTAAACGATGTAATGGGAAAAATTAAATCTCAACAGACCAACGAAAACCGCAACATGATACCTTTTTGCCAACGGAAGATATTAATTATCAAAGTTGGAAAAATAATAGATATGACAGCTGTTTTTAATTGTTCTCCTTGTACAGTGCCACTTGATTTTTTCATTCGACTTGGCCGTTACTTGATAGAAATACATGGATGATTACTATTAGTTCAAGAGATAGCGACCAAATCTTTGGGTGATCGCATTGTAGCTGGAAACATTATACAGGGTGACCCATGGTTAAACCGTCAAACGTTTAGGATCATTTTTTAGGCAAAAATAAGACTTTTTCTTTCTATAACCATGTGTCCTAACTTGCTTCATTTCAGAGATCTCTATGAAACTGTCTTTTCCTGCGATATAAACACCTATCAGAATGGTGAGCTTCGATAGTACCCTGCTTCTTTCGTTCGAGTCGACCACGTCATCACGACAACCACGAATCTGAATAGAACAACATCTTGTCACCTGGTATGACATGGAGATGACAGCTTCATACAGGCCGGAAATTCTGTCAAAAATACTCATCTCGATCAATTTTCTTCGAGGTAGCACCCCTCTTTCTGCGGACTTGGGTGTTACCAGGCAATTGGAGATTTATGACGAAATTACTATCGATATAGTCGTGCGAGCGCTCGTGGTATTACCCCTGGTAATTTAACAAAGCATCGGCCCTGATAGATCCGTGATCAGATCGATTATCGAGGTCTGTCCAAATGACAGAGATATGTTCCTCTCAACGATTTCGGTGGCTTCTTCCCAGCAATTTTTCCTTTGGTGGGAAGGCGCCAACATGGCAGCTACGCTGGGTTCCGGAGCGTTTTGCTAGAACTTAGTTTGCATCTCGTCCAAGTACATCCGCAGGTCTGAACTAGACTTTTCCAGATCTATGAAGATGCTCGCATACTTCCTCGAGAATATCTTGATAAAAAAAAACTGCCTCAGAGTTGGATTTCAGAGAATGAATTTTGGTTTCTTCACATTCAGTATTTTTGTCACCAGATCCATTCCTTCTAATAACTTGGCTGGTAATCTTCCAATCTTACGTTCGTCTTCATTTTGAATAAACATTGGTTTATTTAACATGGATCCTGACAATAGTAGATCCTTTTTCAGCTTCAAATCATTCAGAATTGGGCTCTTGATTGCCGGTGAAAAACGCATGCTCATACCCTGGGTCGAAATTTAGCTTGAAATATATCAAGTTTCACATTGAGCTTTCCAAAGATAGGTCATAGATTCTCTTTCATTCAGGGAGTTCTCTTTATGTTGTGGTTCCTACGAAAAGGGATATCCTGTAATGTTCAGAGAACATCGTGAGAACCAAGGAATATAGGTTAGGAATTGGTGTTCTTCTCAAATTTCTGGAGGTTATATGCCTCGGAGAATACTTCCCTTGGCTATGTGTGCCAGAGCCTCGCTGTTCGTTGGATGAACGAGTCTTTGGAAAAAGATGTTCTACAGGTCTCCAAAGTGACCACGAAGGGGTGCGAAGTCTTAACTCGACGGATTAATCTCACGGAGACTGCCAAGGGAGGAACAATTGTTGATATTTCAGAAGAGCATCGTCCATAAAAATATCTATAAAATAGAGCCAGATCGCCAACTTTTCTATACGGTGTTCCAGAAAAGTGAGTGAGTTTGCGAGCGAGGCATCACCCACGAGACGAATTGCCCTTTTTTGGACAGAATCCAACAGTTTCAGGGTACGTTTGGGTGCTGCACTCCAAATATGGGAACAGTATTCCAGAACAAGTCGGATCTGTGCCTTATAGATCATAAGCGGCTGACTGGAAGTGGAATAGCTCCTGGCCCGAAACAGAAAACCAAGTTTTTGAGATGCACTTTCAGCAATAATTGATCTCACGTGATTTTCCAAGCATCGAAATGGATGTATTCAATGGTATGTTTACTCCTGACAAGCTTATGTTGGGCACGGTGAGATCGGCTTTTCTAGAAAAAAGGCATGCTTGTGTTCTGCTTGCATTGAAATCTACCAAGTTATTGGATCCCCATTCGAGAATTGTTGTCAACATTTCTTCCTCGTTCGTTTCTAATTTGCCTGGCTGGTATTGGAGCCCTGGAAGAGAAGGCGGTATGGAGGGTACTATCATCCGCGAAGCTGTGTACTGAACACAGTGCCTTGCAACTCACATTCATAGACGTTTGATAGAGTATCTGAAACTGTTGGCGCGAAAGACAATGTCTCTGCTTCTGATTGGTTATCCAGCAGCATACTGGAGCTCATAAGTCACAATCCAAATACATTTTACGTAACATGACTTTGAATTTGTTTCAGTTTCGGTAAGCCGTGTGACGTCATAGGCGAACTACCGGAAGGTTACGTAACCTCCTGCAAGCAGAAGTATATCTACAGAAGGCTGCTCTCCCTGACTGATAACGGCACCCCTGTTCAAGATACCTTCAAGTTGCCATCTGCTTGTTGTTGCACCTACAAGAGGAGTTTCACCTTCATGACGAACTTTGGCAGGCGCATGTCCAAAAGGTAGAAATTCAATGGGGATTCGATGAAAAGGTTAGCACTTACTCATATCTCATTTTCACAGTAATAAAGAACCACGAGATGGTAATCACAACTCCGAGCTAAAAAGCAAACTTGGAAGTTACTGCTTACTGTAATGTATTATGCATTCCATTTTGATTGAGCTAACCAAGTTTCTTGTTTGTTATTGGAGAAAGCAAACGTGAATGTTGTGAAGTTTTGACAGCGTCAAAAGCAACCTTCTTCGTTAATAGGTTGAAGCAGGATATATTTTTTCCAATTCATTAGCAGAAAAAATAACGTTTAGATATTAGGTGTAACCTGAAATCCGTTTTGGAAACACTGTATACACAAGTACCTACGACACTATAGCCCAAATTATTTCGAATATAACGAATTCGAATGAAACTAAAAATTCGAAAACCTGACACTAAACGAGATTATATTTCTTTTGCAGATAACCGATGAATTTACTAGATGAGTCCGAGTTCAACAAATAAAACTGAATCATCATTTTCGACAAAATATGATATGCCGATCCTGATACTCTCAAATGGGGCCAAATTCATACAGCATATAGGAGGGAAATATGCTAACACAAAACACAGATGTGAGTGCACTGCTTTGAATTTGATAGCAATACCAGCTCTTCAATGTTTTCCGTTTATTAACGATTTTCGATTTTTTTCAGCGTTCGTATTCTGAAGACTAGCAATTCTCAGAGAAACAAATGAGTACTGATGGAAAGATTGCAAACATAGAATAACTAGATGTCAAGATATGATGATACTGGACCAGAGGTGAGTCAAACAAGCTGATGTTAAGTGTAATTATTGTCTTATTTCATTATTCCCAGATGCAAATATTACAATATTATATGACCCGCACAACGAAATAGATGCTCAAAGTGAACTGGAATGTTGAATGAATACAAATAAAACTCGGAGTAATTTCCACTAATGTCCATCAAATGAAAAATAATGGTAGATGACGGAAGAAGAACAATCATACTTTCCTGGCTATATAATGACATGCAGTACATTGAATTTCATTCTCTAGAGGGAGGCGTGGAAAGTGGTTGTTTTTCTAATCTACCATTGTTGTTCATCTTATGAACACTTGTGTATTTGAATATACGTCAGTCGAGCAAATCAGTCACTTCCATTTGTGGGTATATTTCGATTTTGATGAGTTCTCCTTTCCTTCTAGTCTAGATAACGTTTGACTCATGTCACCTATGAGAGATTCTTTCAAGACTACAAATATTGCTGATTCGATTTTCATGGGCCAGGTTACGCTTAGCTGGCGGTCTCCGGACTATACCCTAGACTTATGAGAGCCGAAAGCTCAAAACCGGTCTGTAGGTGTCGTTGCCTTAACCTGGCTAGATTGAAATCAATCGGCATCAGGGAAAGAAACACTTGCATTAGTATTCGTTTACACGTATCGTTCCATAGATTTTGGAAGGATGTATTTCAATGTTCTGCTTGGAATGGCATAAGCCAGGAAAGTAGTTATTTTATTTCGTTATCTACTATTGTTGTTCAGTTTGAACGTTTGTGGATATGACTTTAAGGTTTTTCATATCTATTCACCATACTATGACTGGTTCATCAACACTGTTCAGTCGCTACTTAGTACAAAATTCATGATACGTCGCTAGCGCGCTTTCATCGGATCTATTCGTGTCCACATAGAAGCGATATCGTTACATGAATGATACAATAGTGGGTGAGGTAAACATCGCATATGAGAGTAGACCAATGATAATTCTCAAATAACTGCTGCACTTCTGATAAACGTTTTTTTCCTCTCTGCCAACCATTGTACTAAGTAGCAGCTGGACTCTTTCTTCTGGTACGAACTTCTTCTCTCATTTTTTTTTCAGCTCCGAAATTTATGAGAATTCAATTAATAATATATACCCACGTCAAATCAACATGAATGTATTATGGATTTGATTTTTTTGGTCATATTCCTTGGATATTCAATTCATATTTGCGAAATTTGTTTTGATGTATATGTGTACTCGCAAGTTTCATAATTTCATACAAATAAATAATTTTTTTTTCCAGGAAACTGGGCCTATCCAAGAAAAATATCTCCACTTCTGCTTTGACAACATGGAAGAAAGATACATTTCAAAATGTAGAACTGTTATGGTTTTCAATGTAAACATATTCATTCTTCTTCTTATACCTACAAGAATAATTATGTCCTTCCTGATTACATATCACTCTAATCATATATAGTCACATCAATCATTTGAATTGAATAATTGTGAACGTTCGTTTGCATTTTTCGTTTGAGGGCGTCAAATGAAGGGAGATATGATTTTATGACGTCACAAGATACATTTTTGGGGAATAGAAAACGATATTCTGCTAGATAACAATATCAGTAGGAATTCTTGAATATCTCACAGCTAGAAGCGTCATATTAAGAACAAAAGTTAGATGAACTTGCAATATCAGGTACTTATGTTAGATTCAATATTGAAACGTAGGACTTGTTAACAGTAAACGGCAAGCTATTCATATGAACATTCTGAACATGATCAATATAGAAATATATGAGAACATTTTTTTTATATTATTTTTCTCCTGTTAATTATTTATCATTACATACATGTTTATTCGTTTTATACATTTGTTGATTAAACACATACCAGTGCATTCACTTGATCTTTTATTTTTATCACTTTCAAACCTAGCCTGTTCAGTAGTTCAATGATAATATTCGAGTGAATTCGACGAACGTTATCAAGTTTATTTTGAGTTGATTTTTTTTTGAGGTTATGTCGTTGAACTCCACTTGAATCGTGAATTGAGAATAACACTTTTCAGTAGGATTCGAAATTGAAAATTGAATGAAATATTGTTATGAACTCATGAAATAACTATACCGCTTGCACTCAAGTCAAGGCTATACAAAAGTATAGACCAAAGTGTTTACACCGTCTTTGTTATCACACTATTTGAGTCTGGTAGACAACAAATTTCGTTACCAAACCAGGCTGGTAACTCCACACTTCATACCACACTGACTAAGAGTATTTAGTTAAAATAAAGTCATTAGTCAGCTTACCAAGACACGGTATAAATGTGGCCTGTATTTCTCTACAGCAAAGCGGAACTCAGTATACCTACCTGATATAACAATGTTTGGTAACAAAGTCCACTATAGTAAGTCCTAAATATCCTTATTTTCAACAATACAAAAATCGCGCGGGAAAGTAACTTTTTTTTTGCCATTGCAATTGCATCACCTCGTTGGTCCCAGCACTGGGACCAAACGTCCCATAAGTCGAAACTTGTGCGGGGTTAGGTAAGCAGACAAACACAAACATCCATGGCCTAACTAGGATTCGAACCTATGTCTCGCAGGGAGTCCCCATACGAACTCAGCGCCTTCACGCTCTCGACCACCGAGCCGCCACGATATTTTCATGCACTGAAAGATGATGAAATCGTATATCGTGCAACAAGTGGAAAAAGTTCAATTTTTCTCACGAGTGCGAAAGTTTGTGGCACGAGCCTGAATGGCGAGTGATGCAAACGCACGAGTCAGAAAAGTGCTTTTCTCCACATGTTGTACACTATACTTTTTCTACAACTGCACTTATTCAAAGAATACGAGCAGATCCGAGTAATGTAAGTTATTGGTATTCATTTTATAATGTGGCACTATGCCACATTGAATAGAGTAGAGTAGACGCCTTTCCTAGTTCCTCAAAGTATTTCAAAAAACTACACTTTCGGAAAAAGAATTTATTTCTGTATTTTTTTTTTGACTCCATAAATATTATCGTACCAATTCATACTTTTTTCTTGAAATTTCAGGAAACGAATCCAACTTTTGCAGCTTTTTCTATTATCTCTGTCTCTGGCGGTGTATTTATCAATATCGTCACATATCGGTATATACATCATATTATTTATAACGAATTATTGTTGGAACATTATTTGATGGATAATGCGATTTCTATCAAAAACATTAATGAGAACTACCCTAAAGAATTTAAAAAACTTCTTCTGACAGTTGTGACAACTATTCAAAGCTGAACAGCAGCCAAGTTTTGATCGATTTTTGTTGATTCTCCATGGAAATGTATGTGGTGTTGGCAAAGTGCCGTGAGGAAAAATATTTCTCACAGTATGGGCAATACATGGTTTTGAAACTGAGTAAGCTATGAGAAATGCGCTACTTTTCATAGCAGTAGTAGAAAATAGTTATTTGTCTAACTAGGCAGCAAAGTAGTAGATTGACTGCCGTGGCTGAATTCATAGCCGAGCGTAGCGAGGCTAGGAATCCAGCTAAGGCGCAGTCAATCTACTTTGCTGCCGAGTTGAACATATAATTTTTTCTCCGATTGATCATAATGATATGGGAGAATATTGTATTTGCGAATTAATACAATTCCCACAATCTCTTTATTCTTCCTGTATAGTGTTCAATTAAAATAAAATTTGATAGAAATCGCAGTTGTTGGTTTGATAATTCATGAAATTTCTGACAGTTGTGCGAAAAATATCGGTATATTTAAATTATTATATAATGGACAGTGATAGCGACCTGGAAGTATACTTACACCTCCATTAATAAGGGAGGTGGCAAAAAATATAGAGTTGAATTTGTTGCCGGGGAAGTCTCGGATGAAATATGAAAGAAATTATAAACGATTTATGGATTTTTAATTTTGCTGATACATATCAATCAGCAAAGTAACCACTTTGCTGATTGATATGTGTCAGCAAAATTAATATTTGCTGCAAATCGGACGAAAAATATTTTTCATGTCATTGATAAAGTAGGAAACTTATTTGAAGATTATTCAAATAACAATAGGTAACTAAAACATTAGAGATGGAAAATATTGAAATTGAAAGTGTAAGTTGTGTTTTTTGCATGCTGTGATATAGCAGATGCCGCAACATCTTGAAGAACGTTGTTTCTTATTTTGAATTTGATTGGACAGTGTTTGGCCCACTACAGAAATGTCTTTATCAGTCCATTGCTGAGAATTACTAGTGTAGTGAATGGAGGAAGGTAGATCGGTCTGAAATGCTTATTCGTTGACTGACACAATTGTTAGTTTATAGGGACTGTTGCTATATGGGTACGTTCGTTACCACCGATACAACAAGGCCTGCATGCTCCGTGGGTGACGTCACTTAGTGAGGCCTAACCAGCGGCTCGAAACGACAAGCGCTTATAGCGCTATAAGGCGACCGCGTATTTCGATTTTAGTTTTAGATCATCATTGAGCCGATTTTGCTGTTTTTCGGAGGGCTTCCGGTTATAAAAGGATGCCAGTTGTCAACTGAGCCCTTCTTCGCACCCCATTCGATTTTATTATGGCAAAAAGAAATTTTAAAGCAAAAACCAGGATAAAACACAAATATCCACCTACAGCAACCCATTCGAATTAAATATATTGGCAAAAATTGTGGTGAAGGTAAACTTCACACATACTTATACAGGGCCCGCAGAACATAAACTTATCGTGAGATTGATCGAAAGAAAATTGTGGAAAATGTATTTTATTTTGATTGACATGCCGTTTGTTACAATTACCTATATTTATCTTGGAGAATTCCTATTACCTGAAAAAATAACCAGTGAGTGTTTTCAATTTTCTGTTGTTGGATTTTTCACCCAAGTGGATCGTTACACTTGAAACCGTAATTTTTAAGGGTGAAACTGCATTTATCATACGATGTTTTTTTTCTGAAAATTTTTTTCGGTACTCACGTATTTTTGTCTGATAAACCGAATTTTATAATGAAAATGTGAACAAACCACTATTTATTGAGATATTTCAAGAAAAAGTTCGAAATTTCACCTTCTTTCTCCCCTTGTGTTGGGGGCATTTGAAGCTACTTGCTCTTATTTTGTCATTGGACACTTTATATACTCATGATGTACTTCGATGGCACATTTTTATATAGAAAATTCAGCAGGAAATATGATTTTTATATGGCGAGTTTTTCATATTTAGTGCACAAGCATTCCAGATGACGAATCAATAGTCAATCAGAATATGAGATGTCAAATGTCAATAGATTGCTTTCGGATGGCATTACACACGCCATTATTTTGAATGATATCCTTCCTTCTTTTCACTAAACATGGATTAATCTCAAGAAAATCATATTTATTGTTGAATTATATATAAATTGTCCAATATGATGAACAAAAAAGGGAAATTTGTTCTAAATGCCATTCAGAAGACAGGTGAAAAAGAAGATGAAATTTGAAACTTTTTAGTCAAATATATTCATGATAAATATCATGATAAATGCAGTTTTTTCCTTTTTGAGTAGAGTGCTTGTAGTTTATGTTAATATGATAGTTGCAATTTGATCATTGGAATGAATTCTGCGTTCATTGCCACGAGGCAAATGACCGAGCAAATGATCGTTTTCAGAAAGAAATTTGAGAATGAGGATTAAAAATGCCCGTTTATTATGAATATTCAAGAAAATTTCCTCGAATTCAGAGATGACTTTGTTGACTAATTATACGAATACAAAACTAACTGCACCATCAAAGCTTTTCTATTTTTTCTCTACTTATACTTTTTATGAGAGAGTAATCGTCTTCTATTATCAATTCATCATTATAAATTGAGCTCTGTTTACTACTGAACTTAGATGGAGTAAAAACCTCGCAGTGAATTGCATTTACCCACATTTTCGATAGCTCCTCGTCCAACGGGAAACTAAAAGCATGAACTTTTGAACCACCCACATAATTCCCCCGACAAAAGGGAACACAACACTTGAAAGGCATTGTTATTTCGACGATCACAACACAAAATATTCCACAAAACAGTAATTTTTCCGCCAATTATTTTGATGAATAAACAACAAAAGAATTCGGGACCGTTTCAAAAACATATGTGAATCACCGATGAATTAACACGAACTGACGCGTTAGTCGACAAGCGATAAAATAAAACACTGGCCTCCCTTGGTGACGTCACGAACTGTTTACGTCATAGTCGGCTGGCCTTGTTGTATCGGTGGTAACGGTACGTTCTGGTGCCAACAGTTATCACCACATGTCTCCTGGTATTTCCTTCGAAATCGTGCGGAAAAGTGAAAATAATGCGGAGAAGTAAAATCGTACAAAAAAGTACAACTTTCAAAACGGAAAATCATGCGGGAAAGTTACTTTTCCGCACGCTCGGAAAAGATAATTCACACCTCAGAAGCTCCTCATCTGATCAAGGATGTATTGGGGAGAAATTGCGTGTGTGATGATTATTTCTCTTGAGTATATAGTGTATTTACAGTTAATGAAGTTTATGAAAACATTTCGAGGGTATCCTAGCATATAGAAATGTACCTAGGCCTTCAAGTCTTCTAATCTAGGTGAAAATTTGCTGAAAATAGGACGGCCTCTCATGAGGCTAATGGCGATATTTTGAGAATGTCCTTAGGTGATTGTCTGCCATAATCCTACTATACTGGTGTGTGTTAATGGGCGTTTACACCTTAGTAGAATTTTTAACTCAAACCATGTTTATTATGATCCTTTTATACATAAATAATGATTGACGACATAATTCGATCGAAAAATTAACTGGAATGTTTTATTTTTGGACATAAATAATAGTACCTTCTGAAAACGGATCTTCTTATGACGTAGAAACCTTATCTCGCCATAG